GCTCTTAACCAACAGAGCCACTCAGCAGGCCCCTGTCTACACTGTTTTGATCCTTAGCCCTTTTGGCTTTCTTTTCCATCCTTTAAAGGGTCATGCTTTCTCCTTCTCCTAGCCTTTGCTTGTGGTAGTATTTCTTCTGAGAAAAGTTCCATCTTCAGCTTGTTACCTTGTTCGTCCTTTAGGTCTCAGCTTAAGTGTCACTTCTTTGAGGGAGCCATGCAGACCTTTCCGTTAGACCGGATTTGGCTTTCCTATTGTATTCTGTCATCTTATTTTGTACGTCTTCTTCAGAGCACTTGTCACAGTTTGTATTATCCATGTGTCTGTGTGCATCTTTTATTAATCTTTGCTTCCCCTAGCAGTCTGTGTACTCCATGAGGTCAGGGACCATGTCAGTTTTCTTACCCTTGTATCCCTAGAACCGAGCAGAGTGCCTGGCATATAATAGGTGCTAGATAAATATGTGTGTGTGACTGGGTGTAATTGATTTTGAGCTAATTATAAAAACTCTGGTTTATAATATTTATATATAACATATATATTTTTTGAAAACAGCTTTATTGAAATATACTTGACATAACAAACTATTTATTTATTTATTTATTTTAAAGATTTTTATTGGGGAATTGTGGGGATGGGAATAGTGTTGGGGAATTGGGGAAGGGGAACAGACAAGTTGCTGTCCTTTTGTTCTTCAGTCTAATTGTGGAGGACGTTGCTTCACTGGCCCAAGTTGGTGTTATCGTTGCGCTCTTCCTGGGTGAGGCAGATCAGTCGCTGGCTTCTGGACGGCTGCTCACGCTGGCTGCTGGCTACACACGGTAGCCCATGGCAACCCACTGCCACAGGAGCTGCAGCCTATGCCATCGCTGGCGACTCAGGGCAGCCCAGCTCCAGGTTGAGCTGTTGTGCAGCATCTTAGNAGCTGAGCCATCCTGCTACCTATTGGCAGCTCAGCGGCTGCTCAGCTCGGGCTGGACTTGAACCACTGTTGCTCAGAGCTCAAACTCTTGAGCGATGCCCTATCTTTTTTATAGCTTGATTTTTTTGCTTATTACTATTTTTAAGATGTAGCCCTATTGATTGTTAATCTACTTAATTGCTTTATAGTATTCCATTATATGAACATACCAGAATTTTTTTTCCAGTTTCCTTTTGATAGACATTAGGTTGTTTACATTCTTTTACAATTATAAACAATGCTGCTATGAACTATACATATTTCCTTCTGTTTGTGTGGGGAAAGGTTTTGGATATATACATAGAACTGGACTTGTTGGAATTAGATATCTTCAATTTTACTAGAAATTGTTAATTTCTGTACAAAGTGGTTGTAGCAATTTACACTCCCACAAGCAGTTTCATCAGTTTAAGTTTTCATCAAAGATATGCATTCTAGTTTTAGAAATGATGGTGTTTGCATAATTAAAGCATAGATTACTTTTTTCATTTCTTTTGTGCTTGATATGCTTTTAAGTTCAACATAATTTTAGGGAGAGATATAAAGGAATAAAATCTAGATTTAACTAACTACTAGTTCTCCCTTCTGCTATTGCTATGTTCCCTGAAGTGCAACTTTATTTCTCATTGTTGTTGTATTTGTACTTCTCATGGAGAGAGACTGAAATAAATTATTAATTTTTTATTGTTTTTGTGTCCATAGATTGTCAGAGGATTAAACAGTAAACAACATTGTTTGCTGGAGAGCCCTACAGGAAGTGGGAAGAGCTTAGCCTTACTTTGTTCTGCTTTAGCATGGCAACAGTCTCTCAGTGGTAAGTAGTTGGTTATCATCTTCAGATTGCTTATTAGGACATGAACAAATATAATAAAATACATTTTATCCAGAATGATTTATCCATATTCTTGCTAAGTTATGTATTCTCTTTTAAGATGTTTCTTTGTAATGTTATATATCTTCCAAGAGTTTCAACATAGCAAAATATGTTCAATTAATCCTAAAACAATTTTGAGCATGATGTAGTCCTTTATTTGATGATTCAGAGTATACATAATAACCTTGGAATGCTTAGAGTTATCATAAAAGTAGTTATGATAATTTATATGTAAAAGATGCAAGAGATGGGGCTGCCATGATATTATAACACATAGGAATAGTTTTTTTGTTTTTTTTTAGTAAATCCTTTAATATACTTGCGTATCTTTTTTTCTCATAACATTAGAACATGGAATATGTAAAAAAAATTTTTAGTTGATCTTTCTACTTGTTTGGATACCAGATAAGCAGAAGTTTAAATAATAGGTTTTTTAAAACCTAATTTGCTATTTATTGGTTTATTTTAATTTATTGGGACAACATTGGTTAGTAACATTGTGTTTCAGGTATACAGTTCTATAATACAGCATTTGTATATTGCACTGTGTGCTCACCTCTCAAAGTTTAATCTCCTTCGGTCACCATACATTTGACCCCCTTTACCCTTTTCATCCTCTCCTTAACCCCTTCCCCTCTGATAACCACCATGCTGTTGTCTGTGTCTATGAGTTTGTATATTTTGTTTGTTTGTTTTTTGCTTTATGTCCCGCATATGAGTGAAATCATATGGTTCTTGTCCTTTTCCACCTGACTTATTTTGCTTAGCCTGTTACTCTCAAGATCCATCCATGTTGTTGCAAATGGCAGTATTTCATCTTATGACTCAGTAGTGTCCCAGTATATGTACGTACCACATCTTTATCCAATCATCCATCGAAGGACACTTACGATGTTTCCATGCATAATGGTGCATTGAACATAGGGATATACATATGTTTATGAATAAATGTTTTCAAATTTTGGGGGTAGATACCCAGAAGATGGATTGCTGGGTCATATAGTAGCTCTACTTCTTAATTTTTTTTTTTTTTAAAGATTTTATTGAGGAATCGGGGAAGGGGAACAGACAAATTACTGTTCTTCGGTCTAGCTATGGAGAACTTCACTTCACTGGCCCATGTTGGTGTTATCATTGCGCTCTTCCCGGGTGAGGCAGTCGCTTGCTTGCCATTGGATGGCTGCTTACGGTGGCTCACAGCAGCTCATGAAAGCTCCTGCCAGCTGCCAGCCAGCCCCACTGCAGCCTACGCCATTGCCAGCGACTCAACGGCAGCCCAGCTCCAGGTCGAGCTGTTGTTCACCATCTTAGCTGTAGAGGGTGCAGCATCGTGGGCCCGCATGTGGCATCCGAACCCAGGTCCTGCTGCTCAGAGCTGGCATCCCAAGCCAACTTTTAACCAACGTCCCACTCTGCCAGCACTCCACTCTTAATTTTTTGAGGAACCTGCATAGTGGCTGTACCAATTTACATTCCCATCAACAGTGGATGAGATTTCTTTTTCTCCACAACCTCTCCAACACTTGTTATTTCTTGTCTTATTGATAATAGCCATTCTAACAGGTGTGAGGTGGTAGTAATATTGTTTTTATGAATTTATCTTCTTTTCTATTACTTTTACTTATTTGCTAACAGTTACTTTTATGAAAGATTATCTAGTATCCATAATGGATCTGACATATAATATTGGATACATTTTAGTTACATAATTAGAGGGCTTTGACCTGAAGAATTAGAATTTAAAGTTAATCTAAATTGGTGTGTGTGTATGTGTGTGTGTGTGTGTGCGCGCGCGTGTGTGTGCGCGCGCATGCATGCATGTGTGTGTATGTATGCATATGTATGTATATTTATATACTATGTTTTTTAAAAGGAAATGTTTGTGCTACTGACAAGACTGTATTAAAATTAAAAGTAAATATTTTATATGCTTTTGGTTGTCCATTTTGATTCTTATTGATGTTAATCTTTGGGGAAAATGATATTTGTTGATAACTTAAAATTTTAATGAGAAACTCTGGAAAATAGAATTAGTAGTTTTTATGTAGTACAGATGGGAAAATAATGTCAGTACTGTTTATAGAAAATAAAATAAACTATTCAGCTTGTTTTTTAGTATCTATGCATTGTGTATTTATATACTTAGGCACATAATGGAGACTTAGTTCTGTATTTAAGTGTTAAAATTACCTGTTTTATTTAATTGGAATATTGATCTTAAAATGTATTTCAATACATGTATCAGAATTGATACATCATGACACATGTTTCTATTTGAAATAGAAGTATAATGTTGAAATCATTTAACCCTTATGTGTTTACATTATTAACATACTGAGCTTTCAAATTTTTCATTTAGGAAAATAGCAGTAATTAATAATATGCTGTAGGTCTTTATTTTAATCCTTCCTGCTTGATATTTTAATAAATTTCAATATAAATGAATACTTGCATAAATGTTCCTTTACTACAGTATTAATTTTTGACTATTAGATTTTTATAAATTATGTAAACTGATGATTACTTCTCTATAAATGTTTCTAGCGTAAGTGTTTCTCTCCTGTCCTAATTTGATGCTGCAGGTAAGGTAACCAGCTTGTTCAGATTTGCCAGGTACTTTCTTGGTGTTAGCACTGAAAATCTTGCATCCTGGGATACCTCCCAGCCCTGGGCCAATTGGGGTGGTTGCTCACCCTAGTTGCAGAGGAAGAGTAATGTTTCTTTAATTAGAAATATTATAAATAGAGGTTCTTTTATTTTTAGGGAAGCCAATGGATGAAAGCTTAAGTAAAAAAGCTGAAGTACCATTGTCGTGTTGTTGTACATGCCATTCAAAGAATTTTGCAAACAGTGACATGAACCAAGGAACTTCACATCATTTCAACAGTCCAAGTACACCACCTTCTGAAAGAAATCACACTTCATCACCTTGTCAAGGTAGTTTATATTTTTCTTGCGTCTGTTGGTGTCTGTAATAGGATCCATACTTATTGCTGCTATGAAACCTAGTATAGATAAATTTGGTTAGTGTAATTGGTTATGCACCTCTACCTGTTTTCTCTGGAATTATTTTTAAATACATAGAGTGGTTAGAAATCCTTAGACTATTTTTTTTTTGTCTTGACTTAATTTATTTAGAACTTTTGCTAGTTTATCTAGTTTTTTGAAGAAGGCAGGGCAAAATAAATGATATTCAGAAATTGATTATTTGTAGGCAGTATTGTTAATTATATGTTAGAATTTTATAACATATTGATTTGTATTGTAAGACAAAATCTATTTAATTAGCTTCATTCATTCTTGATAAGTTTGCCTGAACTTCTAAGCTGGTATTCTACATGAGGATCAAGTATATTTTAATTATGATCTTGAAATAGTTCTGATTAGGCTTATTTAACAGAACTATTTTAAGAATAACATAAAGTTATTAATTAAAAATATATTTCTTCAGCTTTGACTATATGGAGAGGATTGACTGTTATTTGCCTAAACCAGAAACCTAGTTGACATCCTGTACACTTTGTTCTTCCTTATTTCTCCATGAAATTCTCTAGCTCCATTGACACCTCCCTAGTCTAAACTACCATCTCTTATTTGGAGCATGCAGTAACTTTTTTTCCTGCCTTTACTCATGCCATTTCTTAAGGAATCACTGGCAGGGAGAAAAAGGTTGCTGTGATTGACTTAAGTCTAAATAGTATCCACTTGGTAAAATCAAGGATGGACTCAT